GCCCCCCTCCGCCCCCCGCCATGGCGCTCGGCTGACTTCTGCACCACTCAGCCAGGCCTCTGCAGGGGAGCCCAAATGTCCGCTTGCTCCATTTGCTTCCCCGCTGTGGCCCGGCTGAGTGGTGCAGAAGTCAGCCGAGTGCCACGGTGGAAGGCGAAGGGGGACAGGGCAGTGACAAGTGGCGTGAGAGCAGCTCCAGACCCTGCTCCTGGCCATGAACAGACCCTGGCCGGGGGCAGGGCGGGGGAATGAGGGGAAGGGGAAGGTGGAGGACAACTGGGAGGCTGCAGGATCAGTGCTGGGGTGAAGGGAAATGGTGCAGGGGGGCAGCTGGAACTCATAGTAAGTTGCTCAGCTGTGCTGCCATGCGGAAGCAAGTGGTGCAAATAGCCATTTGGGCTCCACACTCCCCATGCAGCACAGGAGTGCTGCACGGGGACCGTCATGCCCAAATGGCCGCTTGTGCCGCTTTCTCCCCTGCGGTGGCCCAGCTGAGAAGAGGAGAAGAAAAAGGGAGAGTGAGAGGCAGGAGGGGGAGGAGAAGAGAAAGAGAGATGGAGAGAGAGGCAGGAGATGGAGGTGAGCTGAGAGAGAGAGAGAGAGAGTGGGAGAGGCAGTAGGAGGAGGGGAGAGAGAGACGGAGCAAGAGACCAGAGGCTCAGGAGAGAAGACCGAGATAGAAAGGGAATAGGACGTGGAGGAGAGACCTGAAAATCCCGTTGTATGATGGGCTAATTGGCAAGTATAAATATAAAATCCCACTCCTACAAAATCCTAGCCCTATTGCAATCTTCAGGCAGTCCCCGGGTTACATGGATCCGACTTACATCGGATCCCTACTTACAGACGGGGTGAAGCAACCCCGCACTAGCTGCTTCCCCCCAGCAGACCAGGGAGATGCGAAGCTAGCGCCCCCTCCCCCCAGCAGACCAGGGAGACGCGGAGCGGCTTTTCTCAGCAGACACCTCAGCTTGAGAATAAAGGACTGAGGGAAGTGAGGTGTGGGAGAATAAAACTGAGCTCTGGAGAAATGTTTGGCTAGAGTTTCCCCTATAATATGTACCAGTTCCGACTTACATACAAATTCAACTTAAGAACAAACCTACAGTCCCTATCTTGTACGTAACCCGGGGACTGCCTGTATAGGAGTTATCCCATTGACTTAAATGGACCAGGATGTCACCCTGCATATATCCAAGGGAGGCTAGCTGAGATGGCTGTGCAATGATTCAGGTAGGTCTTAAACAAGATGGCTACGTCTAGACTGGCATGATTTTCTGGAAATGCTTTTAATGGAAAAGTTTTCCATTAAAAGCATTTTCGGAACAGAGCATCTAGATTGGCACGGACGCTTTTCTGCAAAAGCACTTTTTGCGGAAAAGCGTCAGTGACCAATCTAGACACGCTTTTCTGCAAAAAAGCCCCGATCGCCATTTTTGTGATCAGGGCTTTTTTGCGGAAAA